GCGTGGATCAGTGTGCGTGGATCCGGGGGATGGAGGTTCCCTCTGTCAGCGGAGAGGCGGTTCAGCCGTCCTCTTCCGTGCCAGCCTTAGTTTGCCCTCAGCGTATCCAAAGCCGGCGGGAACTTGGGTGCGATGCGGGGCACGGGGCAGCCTGCTTCGTAGCTCCTGGTTTCCTCCAGCTTAAGCTCTCTCTTGCTCTTCCAGGACTGCGTCACCAGCTGGAGTGAACGCGCTGCACGCCCTGAGCCGCTATGGCCGCTATGTCAGCATCCTGGATGCCGACAGCAAGACGCTGCGCTGCCCGCTGTACAAAGGCTCCTTGGTGGCCAGGCTGGCGGATCACCGCACGCAGATCAAACGGGGCAGCACCTACTACATGCACGTCCAAAGCGTCCTCACCCAGCTGTGTGCAAAAGCCTTCCTCTATACCTTCTGCCACCATTTGCACCTTCCCATCAACGAAAGGGAACCGGAGGAATCCGTTGTGAACCGTAGGATGAACTTTCTGAAGCTTCATCTGGGCCTCGCCAATGAAGATATGAAAATTGTACAGTATTTAGCTGAGCTGCTGAAGCTGCAGTACATTCAGGAACCTGGCCAGGGGGCGAATCCTCTGCTCAGATTTGACTATGTTCCCAGCTTTTTGTACAAAATCTAGCAGCATGTAGGCTGTCTGCCTGCATACTCGGATTCTGATAAAGATCATCCATGCTTGGCATTGATGCTGTCTGCAGTAGCTGTCATACGTCAGGAAGGGGCAAAGGAGCCATTGTGTTTGCAAGCATTTCTGCTTCGTAGAAATCAGTGTCTGAGGGACTGAATTTCAGTGTGGTTCCCTGTTGCTGAGAATGTAGGTATTCCATCACATAAAACACTGGGCACTCTGTTTTTAAATGTTAGAAGGAACGCTATTAACTTTTAAAATATACCATGGTAGCACCCCAGGGGGATTATGGCATGGAGGGAGAGATGAGCAGTGCTTAGTGGTGTGCAGCTCCATTAAACATGCAGGACTCTGCATTTCTGCCAGAGCCACGAATGTTGTTGCTCCTTTCCATGGAGCCAGGGCAGAGACCAGCAGGGAAATACAAAGGCCACATAAAGTTTTTAGCTCAGTAGTGTCTCATGTTAGCATGGGATGTAAGCAGTGTACATGTGGATGCTCCCTGCCAGGACAGCAGTGTGCATTTACCTGTGAAGCAGCAGCTGGTGATGTACTTTTCCATATTTTCTGAGTTTCTTGGAGTTGCTTGTCCCTGGGCCTGAGGGGCAGCAGCAGAGGCACGTGGACTTCCCTCCAGATAGTGTTTGCCAGTTTCTCAGCTTTGTTAAAACTGGAATGGAGTTGAACTCCTTCAGCATGCTAGCACCAAGGCTCTGTTGCTGTGAATGTAGAGCACTGTGCCTTGTTAATTTGTCACATCCTGTTTGCTGGGTGAGCTCTGTGAAGGGTGGAGAGGAGACCAGGTATCCTAAAAACTAGTGAAGCTGGGAGTGACCTGCTAAGGAGAGATGGGGTCTGAACTGAATGGGCTTTAAAGTGCTTTTTGTGATGGAGAGCCACACAGTGCGATTCAGCTGAAGCTGTGCTGTGAGACAGCAAGCCTCTGCAGCAGGCTGCCCAGCCAGTGAGGTACTAGTGCTCAGGAGAGGGCTAGGAGGAATTGAGTGGATTCCACGTTGTATCTGTATCGTTTCTATTTTTGTTGTTTTTGGGGATTTGACCTTTGTGCTTGGTGGCAAAGCCAGGTCAGTGTCACCACAGGCTGCTTCTGGCTGTGCCAATTCACTTTATTTTATTGCCAAGCCTTTGCCGTGTCTCGACTACCTCTCACATTGTGCTCTGGGTGGTTCAGGACAGGGCAGAGCTGCAGATCTCTGAGCCCAGACACAAGCACTTTCCTTGCCAGGAGGGCAGTGCCACCACCACGGTGATGCAGCTGGAAGATTGTCCCTTTGGTGTGGGAGCTTTGTGCCGGGCACAGCGCTTCCCTCTGGAGTCTGGCAGGAGGTGCAGCTTGTTGGCTGCAGCCTGCTCTGCCCCGTGCTGCGTGGCAGCAGCTGCTCCTGCGGTACGTCTGAGCGAGAGAAAGAAGTCTCTCTAGGAAAGGTAGCCTGGTTTTATTTCTTTTTAGCACTTTTCTGATTATGGGAGGAGAACAGCTAAGATTGTACGAGATTAGTTGAAGTTTTTTATTTTAATTTTTATTTGCTTGTTTTTTTAAAACGTCTGTTTACCATAATCATGCTGGAATGGAATGTGATCCTTCCATGCCTGGGGAAGTTTCTGTGTGGATGGAGGCTGGGGTTTGTCAGCATGAGCCTAAACCCTCTTGAAACATGCTGTGATAACTGTGCTGCTCGGAATCCTGTGCCCCAAAGACAGGGAGCCTCTGTGGGGAGGCTGTCATCCAGCCACCAGCATCGCCACTCCGGTACCAACCTCCTGCTGCCCTGCCTGCAGAGGGCCCTTGGAGCAGTCCAGGAGGTACTAACCAACAAGGCAAAGAGTCTGTGTCAAGTAGCAGCATCACTTGTGGTGGCTTACAGTGAGGCAGCTGGGATGCTTGACTCATGACAGTCTCCAGAGGGGTTTCGAGGCCAGGGGTTGCTTGTGCTGGTATCTTTGGCATACAGTGGGGAAGCAGTACAGCTTCACGTTTGCTGAAGGGAAGCAGTGTGCCTGTGCATGGGGCTGCACACCCTCATAGCATGTTCAATGACCTTTTCCTTCTCGGATGCTATCTGTGTCCTCCTGTGTGCTGTTGTCGCATGTAACTGGGTCTGCTGGTGAAGGACTTCCATGTCCATACAAAATGTACTTTCTGAAGTGGCTCGCGGTGTCTCCTTGTTGGTCTGTGTGCATCTGGACGACTTCCAGTGCGATTCCCCGGGATGAGGAAGGCACCAGGCAGTCTCAAGCTCCCTGCACCCTGCCTGACTCACAGCTCTGGAAAAGCTTTTGTCACAGCAGCTCATGTTTTGTGCTGGGAAACTACCTGCAGTGTTTGGGTTTGAGGAGGGCCAGGAGCTCTTTGCCTGCTGACTCATGTGTCTCTTGCTGCAGGCTGACAGCTCAGAGCAGCAGAGCAGGTTCGATGATCAGCACTGGCTGATTTCATAGTCGTAGTGGTCTTTATCTGGAATGTTCAGCTGCCTTCATAAACTGTCAGATAAGTCACTTCTCCTCTACCAAACCTAAAGTACTGATATTCAAGGCTGTGTTGAGCAATACTTGCACTTCCACCTGTCTGACCTGCTTTATCTCTCCACCACAAAGCACTTCTGAATTTTGGAGGATGCCCTGCGGGCTTCACTGGGGCTGTCACCTGTGTTATCTGCACCCGGGCCATTGGGAGGGAGCTGTGTGGAAACACACCTGGGAGCATTTGTCCTCAGGATGCTTGTGACAGAACAGCCGGATGGCCCCAAGCTCACCTTCCTGCACAGGGCATGAGGAGTTGTGCCAGGCTCTGGGCAGTACCTCGCTGAGGTTGCAGCTGAGGGCAGTCGGATGCAGCTGGTGGTTCAGGAGCTGAATTCCAATTTGCTCAGCCATTTATCCGTCTTTCTGATCTGACTGCACAGTAAAGATCCCTATATCAGCACTTTAAGACATTTTCCTCATCTTCACTGTGTTACCTCACTGGTTTCCAATACAGGCAGACTTGCAACAAGTTAAGATCTTACTAACAGCTCCTGTGAAGAATCCTAGCATGTGTGTTAGCTGGCTCATACCGCACCACAGTCCTCCAGCACGAGCAGGGCTGATTCCCCACAGCCACTGCATGGTGCTGCCCAGCCTTCCTGCATCTGCCCTCCACACCAACGCCAGCAGTGTTGTGCGCAGCCCTGATCTGCTCCTGCAAGTGCTGCCTCCCGCCCTGCGCTCCTGCATGCTGACTGCAGCTCCATCCTCTCTGCTGGCTGCTGTGGGATGAAGGCTTTTAGGGCCAGTTGGAGAATTCATCATGGGAAAGGCCTCCCGTGGCTGCCTGGCTGGGAGGGCAGGGCTCAGTGTTTGCGCTCCTCTTGTTCCCTGCATTGGGAGACATCTGCTCGCTTGTGCTCAGCTGCACTGCCGGCCTCTTTGGGATCCCACCACGAGGATGGTCAGCCATAGGAGTAGGCGATACCAACCCTATGCAGGTTGCATTTCTCAGAGGATAGTGCTTGGATTTTCTTTCATCCAGTAGCAATCACTTCTAAGCAGCTCCAAAGCTGTCTTGCCTTGACTAGGGAAGCACTGCCTATACTCTAGCAATATTAACCATTTTGTAAGGGCTGGGAGAAGCACTGGAGGAGTGAGAGCTGATGTCTCCCTGCCCCAGACTCGTTCTGTCGTTTTCATTCAGCACTGGAACGAATGCAGGCAGCCCTGAGCCCACGGTCTCAGGGCAGGTGACTGCTCACACTGCTGGTTTGGCATCCTGGAGAGCCGGGCAGGATCCACTGCAGGACACGGGGCTTATAGCAGCGCTTTGGAAAGGCACCTCTAAGTGTGCTGGGCAATTCAGTGAGCTGCATCGGCTGAAGGAGGGTGCCAGCTCTGTGCTGTGCCCCAAAAGCACAATGTTAGACTAAGCAGGACTGTACCCTGCTATTTGAGGGAGCCTTGCACTTGCTGCCAGAGCTGGGGAGGTTGCAGAGCTGTGGCTCACTGCTCATGAGACGTGTTTTAACTGGAAGGCAGAAACACAGGGTACCCAGCCCTGCTGCTCACCCCAGTGCAGGGCGAGCACGGATGGGGATGGGGCTGGGGCTGGAGCTGCCTCTGAGGGCTGCGAGGAGGCTGTGATGAATTCTCGTCTTATTTTAAAGCACTGTATCCTATTACTGCATGTTGAGTTCCGTGTGTGTGCCTGTGTGTGCAGAATGCTTGTGTCAGTAGTTAGAGCGAGTGTGACGGGAGAAGTCCAAGAAGCATGTCTCAGTGTCGTGCTGTGTTACTGCACAAGAATTTAACAGATGTTAACACCAAATGACTAGTCTGAAAAATGTACTTTAAAAAAAAATTATTTATTTGGGTTCAGATATTTTTGAAATACAAAAATTGGTTGTATTTTTTAAAGCTTATAATTCTTGTCATACATTGTGGTTAAATTCTTAATTTTACTGTGCTTATTAAAAAATGGTTCTACCTAAGGTATGTCCTCAGAGGTCTGAGAAACCGCTGGAGGTGTTGGCTTGTGCTGTGGTGGAGCTGGACTGGTGGCCCCGGCAGGGCTGTTCTCTGGGTATGGGATAAGGCTCAGCCCTGGCAAAATGTGTGGAGGCCCAAAAGGAGGCTGGTGTGTGTGTAGGAAGTCGAGTCTTGGAGGCTGAAGCCAGGAAGACTTTGTAAGGGTGCGAGGTTCCTGGGCATGGGACCCTGAGTGCTGGCTTCTGGTTGTCCCTCCTGGTTGTGAAGGCAGACAGGAAGCCTGTGTTATCTCATCTACTGCTCCCACAGCAGATCAATCCCAAACCTTGCCTCGAGGTCAGGGATTTCCTTCTGCTCAGGCCCATTTGTAAAATCTAGTGGTAAAATCTAGCTCAGAGGGGCTCTGGTGTTGGAAACGGGAGGGGAGAGGTGAGGAAGAGTCAGATGAGGAGCTGCTGCATGGGGCCAGTGCCAGCAGGAAGGTGCAGGGAGAAGGCACCAGGGCTCGTTCCAGGGGTGTGAGTGGGCCACGCTCTGAGAGTGGGCACAGTGCCTCCCGTTACAGGACTGGCAGTCCTGGGAGTGGGAAGGTTGCTGCAAATGCCTCCACCTCTTCCTTCAGTGCCTTTAGCTCTCCCCGGTATTTTTCCTCCTCCAGTTTCTCCTTGAATTCCTTCAACGTGGCCTTGGGGCTCATGTCCTTCTGCACGCGCAGCGTCAGCTCGATGCCTGCAGGGGGGGAGATGTGTGCTTCAGCCCCATCAGCAGGCAGGTGCCACTTCTAGCAGCTCTCAGCCCTGCCATGGCTGGGGCTGGGGCTGCTCCCCAGGATGCTTGGGAGAGGAGGTGCTGGGCTGCCAGGGACTTGCTGTCGTGTGCCACCACCACCTGCTTGAGGAAATGGGACCCTCACCTTTGTGGATGTACCGAGCCACCATGCGGAAATCATCCTGCCGAAAGCCACGGGAGGTGAGAGCTGGTGTCCCGAAACGCAGACCGCTGGGACGGAGGGCACTGACATCACCTGCACCAGAACAAACAGCGTGTGACCTAATTCCAGCACTGCTGTGGTGGGGACTTGGCCTGGCCCCTAGTGGCTGGGAGTTCTGTGAGAAGCTCTGTGTGGCCCTGGGGAGCACAGGGCACGAGAGACATCTAAGCACGTGGGGCAGAACGTGGTGGAGCTCATGGGATGCCTACCAGGGCATGTGTTCTTGTTGCAGGCGATGGAGCAGAGTTCCAGCACCCGCTCAGCCCGGCCACCGTCTGTACCTCTGCTGCGCAGGTCCAGGAGAATGAGGTGGTTGTCAGAGCCCCCTGCAGAGAGAGGAGAGTTCAGGTGAACCCTTGAGATTTCAGCAAAAGAAAGAAGAAAAAAAAAGAGGCTTGAGAGTGCAGTGTTAAGAAATAGTTTAGTTCCAGCAAAGCCCTGCCTGTCATGCCTGTGCACATGTTGCCCCTGTGGTTGGCTCAAACCTGGGATACCAAGCTGGTCCCAACCCAGGCAGCTGAGGCCTTTCCTTACCTGTTACAATGTTGTAGCCCAGCTCCATGAGCGCTGCTGCCAGTGTCTTGCAGTTGGCCACCACCTGCTGCTGGTAAGCCTTGAACTCGGGAGTCATGGTCTGCTGCAGTGCCACAGCAATCCCTGGGGATGAGGCACAGCAGTGAGCTTTTGAGGACCAACAAAAATCATCTTGGAAGCCAAGAAAGCTCATGGACAATCCCTTCCCCTAACCGTGTAGGATAGGAACAGCTTGGTTTCTCCCCCAGCTGCATCAAGCTGGCTGCTCTTTACTGCTATACCTCTCAGCTGGAGCCCTCTGCACTGATACTGGGGCTCAAAGCTGAGCCAGGACATCTCTGTCCCCTCCTCACCATCCCAGCCCAGTGCAGACACGTACCTGCGATGGCATGGTTGTGTGGCCCTCCCTGCAGCCCAGGGAAGACCGCTTGGTTGATGAGGCTCTCCAGGTTGTAGAGTGTTTCCTTTCCTGTCTTGGGGTCCGTGCTGCGGGTGCCTGTGGGAGGAGAGAGCAGGGTAATACATAAGGCAGCTCAGGAAGGAAATCATGCTTGTTCTTCAGATCTGAGCCTTTGTGATGCCCCAGATCTTTCTGCCCTTCCTCTTTCCCAGCTGGAGCAAGAAGGAGCTTTAACCCGCAGCTCCCCTGGCCTGGGTGGAGAGTTTCTCCTGGCTCAGGTCAGGCACCTTTGCGATAGAAGATCATGCCGGCCCTGCAGCCCCTCAAGGTCTTGTGGGTGGTGGTGGAGACAACGTCGCAGTGTTCAAACGGTGAGGGCACGACGCCCGCGGCCACCAGCCCGCTGATGTGGGCCATGTCGGCCATCAGGTAGGCGCTGTTGGCGTCGGCAATCTGTCGCATGCGGGCATAGTCCAGGTTGCGTGAGTAACAACTGACACCTGCAAGGACAGAAGGGAATGGCCTCAAGCTGTGCCAGAGGAGGTTCAGTTTGGATATTAGGAACATTTTATTCGTCAAAAGACTGGTCAGGCACTGGCACTGCTGCCCACAGAGGTGGTGGATTTGACGATAGAGGTCTTTTCCAACCTTAATGATTGTGTGATCCTTTGAGTCCCTTCCACCCTGGGCTGTTCAGTGATCCTATTCTATAATTCTGCAATTGCCCACTGGCTTCAGGATGCCACCCCGTGTGTGAGGGTTGCTCCTTACCTGCTATAATCAGCTTGGGGTGGAACAGACGGGCATTCTCCTCAAGTCGGTCGTAGTCAATGTAACCAGTCTTGGGATTCACCTGGGAGAGGAAGAGGAGCATTCAGCCACTTTGGCAGGGGTGCTGTCAAGAGGTTCTTCCACTTATGAAGGCCATAACCTGGCTCCCACTGGAGCAGCTTTCTATACCTTGTAGGGCATGGACTCGAAGAAGACAGAGGTGGCAGAGATCTTCTTCTTATCCGTCATGAACCCGTGGGTTAGATGACCCCCATCAGGCAGGTCCAGCCCCATGATTCTGCCATGGGGCTCCACCAGGGCCGTGTACACCGCAAAGTTAGCAGGTGACCCTGTGGCAGGAGCACACAAGGCAGTTCATGGGTGCTGGGGCATGCAGAGGCTGCCACAGCCTGTGCTGCCTGCCCTGGGGACACCATTACCTGAGTAGGGCTGGACATTGACACCCCACTTCTGGGGATCGAGGCGGAATGCCTGCAGGGCTCGCTTCTGGCACAGCCTTTCCAGCTCATCTACAAACTCGGTCCCACCGTAGTACCTGCCAGTAAAGGACAGGGAAGGAGTTACACTGAGGTCGGTGTCTGCTGAGAACAAAACCTCAAGGTTAAAACGAATCTCTTCATTCAGGAATGCATGCCCAAGGCAGTGCCAGCTGTGAGACCAGGATGCTGCTGTTTGCAAGCAGCAGACATGACCCTGCTACAACTACCTGGTGCACGGCCAAGGACAGAAACTGAGAGGGTCAGATCCTGCCCTGCAGGAGCTCAGTTGCCAGCACCAGGACATGGCTTTCCTCCCAGAGATGAGGTATTGAGGTGAACGTGGCAGTGCAGGTGGTCCCTGTCCCCTCCTTACAAGAGTTTGGGTGTCTCAGGCTCTCCCCAGCCCCATACCTCTGTCCAGGGTAGCCTTCAGAGTATTTATTGTTCAAGCAGGATCCCAGTGCCTCCAGGACTGCGCAGCTCGCAAAGTTCTCTGACGCAATCAGCTCCAGCCCCAGCCTCTGCCGCTGCTTCTCCTTCTTGATGATGTTGTACACCTTGGGGAGGGAGAGAAAGCTTCACTTGTGCCAGCTCTTCACGGAGGCATTGGTGCTGCATGGCGTGGGATGCACCCTCAGAGGAGTTAGGATAATGGAGAGCAGCCTGAAAGCCACTGGAGAAGGGAGGTGAGGTCCCTTCTTGGTACAGCTGATCACGTGTCCTGCCTCGCTCTGGGTTTCTCTGGTAGATACCACAAAGCCATCAGATAATTCAGCTCTTGCTTGGGCTGGAGCCAATGGCTATGCTGCCGGGTGGCTGTGAAGTGCTGGGCCTGGTGCAGGCATCTGAGCTCCAGGCAGAGAGTTACGAGCAATGGCTGAGAAATGACAGCCACAGAATTTGCACGTACCTGGAGGATGCCCTCTCTGTCCGTAACAAGGCACAGGGGCTGGCCGAGTCCCGGCAGCTTAACCTTGCACTGTGCCCCTGGTTCAAGGAGGTCGGTGTCCCTATAGCTCTCACCTCAGGGTCATTGCTTTCAAGTGGCTCCAGTAGCATCTTACTGTGGGAGGCCCACAGCTCTGCGCTGGGGAGGCTCCCAGCACCCTCTGTCACGTTCGCCATCTGTCCACTGCCTCTGATGCCACCTGCAAAAGGCAAGGGGAGGGTGTTTATTGCAGCAACATGGCTACTTCCAGTATCTGTTCTCCCCCCACCTTGATATCACACAACCAAGGTGTGGCCTCCCCCTACCTGCCCCTGTCCTGGCACTTGGGGACATAGAAAGTCCCTAAGAAACATGATAAGAAACATGATAAAACAAGAAACGTGATAAAATCCAGCAGTACCATTTCATTTCACTCAGGCTTTAGACATAAACTTGCTCTAAGCCCAAGGCAGCAGCAGCCCCGCACCACTGAGCATTACAAAGCAGCGCACAAACTCCAGGGCAGCCATGGCAGCCCAGCTCCAGTCCTGGCTGTGCACAAAGTATCTTTTTATCCATTAACCCCACAAGGTCACAGAGGGGCCGTGAGCTGGTTGTTAAGCAATCCACTCCGTTCAGCAGCGCGGCCCCCGCTGGGCTCGGAGGCCCGGCTGCCCCGGGGCTTTGCTGGCAGCGGGGAAACGCTGTCAAAGACGCGGGCTGAAACGAAGGCGCGTTGTGTGGGGCGCTGTGCGAATGCACGCTGCTGGCAAAGGGCTGCAGAGAGGACAAAGCTGCCAAGAGGAGCCCCTTTGCCACCCTCCTGGTGGGACATGAGCGTGGGCACGGCCCTGGAGTTCCACCTGCTGCATCCCACGTGGCTCCGTCGCATCCCATATCCAGGATCCGGTACCCGCCCCGACACCCGTGCTGCAGCACCACCGCCCGCCCCGCTCCCACTTCGCACGGTCCCTGTCCGCCCGCCCGCCCCATCCCTGCCCGCTCCGCAGCCTCGCACCGCACCGATACGGATCCCGATCCCGGCCCGCTCAGCCGCCCCGAGGCAGCCCGCGCGCCTAGCATAGGCTGACGGGTCACACCCCTGCAGCCCTCGACCAATCAGCGCCCGAACGAAGAACTTTGCGACAACTTTTCGTCCAATCCGCGGCGCGCTCCGCCCCCTCCCCGCTCCCCATGACCCGCGCTCAGGCGGGGCGGGCGGTGCTGCCGGCACGCGGGTTGACCTTGGCCGGGATGGGGGCTGCGCCGGGCCCTGCGCACACGGGAGCCGCCCACTTCCCCAGCACCGGGGCTCCCCGCCGGCCGAGATCCCCCGGGCCTCCCTGCCAGCCCTGGAGGTGCTCCCCGCTGCCCCGCATCCCGCCGCCCCGGTGGCGGGGCTGCTGGCCGGGGTGATGCGCTGAACTCGGCGGTCCGCTGTGCGTGGTGCTCGGCCACGGTGTGGGAGCACAGCCTGCGGAAGCAGAGCCTGCACTGCTCCCTGCGCACAGAGCAGCCCTGCTGCACTGCGGGGTGGGCCGGTGCCCTGGAGGAATGTTTCAGCCCCGGAAGGATGAGGCTTGCAGGCAGGAGTAGCGCTGTGCTGTGTGCTTCAAACACAAGCGGGTCCTTGGGTTTGGCCAACCTGACCCAAGAGACCACGGACAGAGCTTCAGGGGTTAAATGAGCGTGGTGTAAATTGAGGAACAGAGGTAGGGAATAAGCGGTCCCAGTAAATTCCTTGTGATCCCAAGCGATGGAAAAACAGAGTGTGCACTGTGAGTCACAGCGTGAGGAGCGGTGTCTCAAAGCAGTGGGGCTGCAGTGCGTGGGGCTGCGGGCAGAGCGGGAGCAGTGCGGTGCTGCGGTGAGTGCTGCCGGGTCCTGGCGGCGAGGGGTGCTGGGTGCGGAGCTGGGTGTGTGGGTGCAGGGGTGACTGTTGCACCAAAACTCACCTTGGATACCGCTCTGCCTGAACTGTACACATCCTTAGGTGCTTTTCTCCCAGGTAACAGTGATAGGATAGAAGGTAATGGCCTTAAGTTGCACTAGGGGAGGTTCAGGATGGATGCTAGCAACAATTTCTTCTCCCAGAGAGCGGTCAGGCACTGGCATTGCTGCCCAGGGAGTGGTGGGGCTCCTGGAGCTGGAGGTGCTCCAGAATGTGGAGATGTGGCACTGAGGGCTGTGGGCAGTGGGCACGGTGGGTTGGGGTTGGGGTTGGACTTGATCTTGGGAGATCTTTTCTATCTTAATAATTCTATGATACTTTGATAGCTGCTGAAGGAACAATCTTTTAACTTCAGAATTCTAACAGTTTTTAGCTCTGCTAATTTGTCTTCCATCACCAAAGAGCTTGGCCACAGCTGTGCAAGTTGGGTTTTTGTAGTTCTGCTCTCAGCCCATGGGCGGCTGCTGTCACAGACTGCTTGTGGGTGAGTTGTTCTGACACTGCCAATGCCAGCGGCAGGGCCTGGGCTGGTGTCTCGGGTCACAGGGTGACAGGGGGACAGGGCAGATGCCAACCCTCAGCCCGCAGCCTCCTGGGCCCTCTGGTGTGGAAAGAGCTGTAAGCAAAAAGATCTTTGATATCATTTATTTTCCGCCTCTCAGCGTTAGTGGGCTGGCTGTCAGTGTGGGTGACAATCTCCCAGGGACTTGCCAAGAGATAAGTAATTCTTTTAGTCTTGGTTGGTCCCTGTCTGCAAAAGCTTGCAGCACTGGGACTCTGAGTTGTCCCCATGATGGCTGAGCCTCTGCTCAAACATCTCCCCTTCCTGCTGGCATCACCCTTTCATGACAAGATCAGATCAACTCAAAACTTTCGGACTCTCTTCCTTCCTCTGTATCGGTTCACTTGCTCAAGTGGCTTAAATTCCTTGTGCCTCACAACTACTTATCTACCATTCTGAAACTTGAGATGTTCTATAGAGAAGTATGTTCGTTATTAAGTCATTTTAAGTGCAGGTTTCATCTTTGCATATCCATTTTGTGTATGGTTGCAGTCAAAGATTCTCCCCAAAGCTAAGGGAGCTGCAGGTAATAGCAGTGTGTGCTGTTATGGTTTCAGGACCCCAGCTTGCTGGCAATGGAGACCGTCTCTTCTTCTCCATCACCCTTCCCTGACAGCTCCCCCTCCATGCCCTCTGGGAATGCCACAGTCCACGACCACTACTCTGGCCTCCAGAAGAGCCTGCATGTCCTCTCCATGGTGGTGTACAGCATTGCCTGTGTGCTGGGGGTGACAGGGAACGGCCTCGTCATCTGGATTGCAGGCTTCAAGATGAAGAAGACAGTGAACTCAGTGTGGTTCCTCAACCTGGCCATCGCTGACTTCATCTTCACCTTTTTCCTGCCCCTCAGCATCATCTACACCGCTCTGGACTTCCACTGGCCCTTCGGGAAGCTGCTGTGCAAGCTGAACAGCACCATTGCCTTCCTCAACATGTTCGCCAGCGTCTTCCTCCTGATGGTCATCAGCGTGGACCGCTGCGTGGCCGTGGCCTTCCCCGTGTGGTCCCACAACCGCAGGAGCCCGGAGCTGGCGGCCAGGGTGGCGCTGGGGACGTGGGGGGTGGCTGTCCTGCTCAGCTCCCCGTACCTCATTTTTCGTGACACTGCGGTCAGTTCCCGTAACATCACCAGCTGCTACAACAACTTCGCGCTGTCTGATGACTACACGGCCGAGGAGACACGGAGGCTGTGGAGGATGCGGCACAAAGCGATGATCGTAACGCGGTTCTTATGTGGGTTCCTCATCCCCTTCACAGTGATTCTCATCTGCTACAGCGTTGTTGCTGTCAAGCTGAAAAGAAGGCAACTAGCCAGCTCTGCAAAGCCGTACAGAATTATCATTGCCGTCACAGTCTCATTCTTCCTCTGTTATTTCCCCTATCACGTCTTCTCCTTGCTAGAAATATCTCAAAACTCTTCCAGTCACGAGATGAAAATGGCCCTCTACATAGGAATCCCCTTGGTTTCCAGCCTCGCTTTCTTCAACAGCTGTATAAACCCCATCCTTTACGTCTTTGTGGGGCCAGATTTCAAGGAGAAGTTTTGCCAGTCCATCTTGTCGACCTTTGAAGGGGCCTTCAGTGAGGAGTCAATGCTGGGCAGCCTGAGCAGCAGGAGGAAGTCCAGGTCTGCCTCGGAAGCAGAAGTCCCAAGGCTCTGACTGGGCATGGTTCATCATGGGCACACTGCAGGGCAGGTTTCTCTCTCTCTTTGTCTCTCTTCTCTCTGCTTTTTTTCCTGCTGATTTGTCACAACATCCCATTTTTAGCAGGCGACCCTTTGTAAATGTCACTGAGTCTGTGACTTTGCTGACAGGACTCCCTTTATTTTCCCTTCTCTCCAGCGTTCTTCAGCCATGAGAAGCAGCCTCTGAGCTCAGTGGGTCACCTTGTAGGCACCCGAGTCTGCATCACTACTGGGTTCACCCCCAGGGCATTCCCAAATGGCAAGTTAGCTGCTGGCAGGATGTGTTCTCTGCACTTGCCAGGCTTTCCTGGCAGCCAGTCTTTGCTGGGATGCAAAATTCTGGGGTTCCACCAGAGGGCAAAATTGGATGCAGGTATGCTGGCAGCAGGCGCAGCCGGCACTTCAGCTGGCCAAGAGGACAGAGGGAAGAGCTGCTTCATAAATTCCTTATAACTGAATCAGTAAAGAAAAGACATCTTTTCCTGTGCATCATACCGATATGGCACAGGGGCTGCTGATTTTTAAGTAGAAGATGATTAAATTTAAAAAAAAAAAAAAAGTAGGATGAACATGCAGTGGGATCTGTCTGGAGGCACTTCAGCAAATGCAGCTTTTAAAGAAATAGGATTATGAGGTGGTTATGTGCATTTTTGTAGGGTCTGGGCTAGCTTTGTCCTTTCCCTCCTGAGACAAGTTGTTGGTTGTGTCCCACTTACCCACTTACTTTGGTGTTCAGCATAACTGTTCCTAAGCAATGCTACTCCACGTTTGTGTTTGACCTGCTTCTGGCCCTTGTATAGCTGAAAAGTCTCATTTTGTACTGTTGGTGAATGCATATTAAACTCCATTAAACTTATGTAAAACATACCCAGCCTATTGTGCTGCCTGTGTGATCCATTCAAAACGTGCATGCTCATGTTTGCTGACAAAGCAGCTAGATAAGAAGGTTCAATACCCATGATTTGGAAATTGCTCCCAGTAACTCTCCCCTGTCTGACATAGGCAGCACTCGGCCTGTGTGAGGAGGTTTGTCTGAAATCCAGCAAGGCAGAGAAGGAAGAGCAAATCTGGAATTGGTTTTGCCCACATTTCACTTTTGCAAAGTGCTTGGGATGAAGATGGTGGTGTTATTCCCCTGGGTTTGATCGGCCTCTGAACAGCTTCAATGACTATGGCATACAATGTCGGTCAGGTAGAAGGGAAGGTTCCCATCCCAACATGAGGCAGCTGTGCGAGCAGGTACTGGTATCACACCTCCTTCCCCTGCCTGTTACATGGCACAAACTGCCACTGTCCCATTTATGCTGCTAGGAAGCAGCCTCTGAGAGGCTCTCGAAACCTCATTGCTTCAATGGCTGGAAAATCTGTCTGAGTGCCTGCCTGAATGTATGAACGTGCACGTCTCATTTCTGTGTGGATGACAGCACCGAGCGAGATCTGTCACCTGAACATGTTAGGGATTAATTACGGGTCTGCTGGGTCACACAATATTAAATGAAGGTTGTGATCCTCCAGGCATGCATGTACTTAACCTTAAATTCATGCGTAATCCCACTGAGATCAGGGAATGTAGCAAGACCATCCATATGTCAAGCATGAGTGAACAGAAAGATTTACCTTTACCACAAATTGCTGCCTGTCATCCAGATAAAGCTGCAATGTTTGCTATGCAGTGCAGTGCTGGGGCTGTTTACTTGCTCCTGGTGGCAAATGACAGCATTGATTGCAGTGTCAAGGTTGTGCAGACCAGTGTTTGCTCTTTCTGGTTTTCTTCATCTGTTTGCAGAGCCCACATAATTCCTTGTGACAAGCATCTCTGAGATTGCTGGACCAAGGCCTTGGCCTCCCATTGTGCCTCTCTCATCATCCCAGAACACTTGAACTTGGAGCATCACAGTCTGGGATAAGAAAGGATGTAATTTTGTGGGGCATTTGGGCATACCAGATGGGTACAGGGTTCTGATGTCAGTGAAGCAGAGAGTCTGGATGGTATAAGGAACTGCTGCTCAAATACCAGGAGAGCAACTTGCAGAGCACCACCTTCTCCCTGGCATCCCAGCCAAGAACAGCGTGCCATTAGCACAGCAGCTTTAGCAAATCCCATTGAATCCCGCAACTAAATTGTCTTAATACCCCTCCCAGAAGTTGCCTCCTCTTTAAGTGGCACATTATTATGGTTAAGCAAAATAGTGTGCCTTCACAAAGCTCTCTCCTTGCATGACGGGAAAGGGGCTTAGAGAGTTTCAAACAGCTGTTGTTGAGAACACCTGTCAAAATACTGCTGGGGAAAAAATGGGAATGTTTCATTGGCAGTAACCAACAGCTCATGGCCATTGCTGTGTGGCAGGATGGTCACAGAAATAGTTCTGTCATCCTGGGTCTGATCCCAAGCCTTTGTGCAAAGCTGACACCAGGTGCAGTTAGGCTGCCCAGGGACTGGTTCCAAGATAAAGCTCTCATACTGAATTTGCTTGTGTTCATGCTATTCCATTATTACAGCAATAATTACAGTAGTCCCTCATTGCTAACTAGAAGCAGGCTATTCATTCTCTCTGATATTCATATTTGCCATGTGTGTAAATAAAAAAAACTTGAATAAAGAAAAAAATCCAAAGACAAGCAAACAATCCTAAGGGGTCAAGCAGCATTTTTGGCACCTGTGCCCCCCTCTGACGCAGCTTTGCTCTCAAGGCTCTTTCGGATGTGATCAGTTGGGTGGTGCTGGGCTTCAGGAACAGCCTGAACCCCTGGTATTTGCAGTTGTTGAGAAAGGCACAGGTCGGCTGTCCTGCTGGCCTCGGCCTGATTGGCCCTGCGGAGGGCGGCTCTGTGGGCAGGCTGACAGCTCCATTCCTACAAATAGGATTGGGATGGACAGAGCGCTTGGGGCGTGCTGGGCTCAGTTGTGCATGGAGGAAGCTGAGAACGAGCGAGTTTTAGTAGCTGGGGTGTTTGGTGTGAAGTAGCAGGGCAGTGTGAGAATTTGGGTGAGGTCATTAATGCTTTGGAGGTGGGTGAGGTGAATGTGGTATCACCAAAACATCTCGGTGACAGAGCTCAGAAAGGCTTGGCAGGTGATTTGGGATAGAGGCTTTGTCATGGCAGAAAACCCACAGCCTGTGCCTTCTGAGCGCACCCTGCACTGTTCAGAGCTGCCCTCAAAGGGAGAAAGGGAAGGAGATACCGTGCTACCTGGTGCTGGTGGGGGGAATCATGTTGTGGGGCTAGTTCAGGTGAGTGAAAATAGAATGGGCAAAATCCCAAAACAACATGACTGTGACCATCCTCATTGAATCCCAGGCTAAGTGGTAGCAGGTCAGTGGTCCATTTCTGGTTGGATGGTGTGGTGTTTTCTTTAGCACAAGAAAAAGTAAGCGTGGTATTTTCATTATGCTGGGGCACCACCATAGTACAGCTGGATTTTGTGACACAGCAGCTTCTGTAAGGAAGACAGGATCTTAGAAAAGGATTTAACGAAGATCTCAGGCAGTTAAAGCCTGGGGGACTTGCAGCATGTAGTCCTTGATAGCAGTGGATTATTGCTATGCCTGGCAGTTTTATGTTTTTCTAGCAAGCATTTTAAGCCAGGATTTCAACTAGAGCTGTGGCTGCTTTGCTTTGGAGGAGAGAGTATAGCAGGTGACTCTGGAGGTGGGAGAAACTGCAGAGCTATCAGGGACAAACCAACCGAGCAGCATTAAAGAAGAGATTGTACTCTATCCTTGGAACCTGGAGGAGAGCATGCAAATAAAAAACTGGACTCAGAACAGTTAAGAGGAAAGAGGGAGGGAAGAACAGGAGGAAGTAGCAGCAGCGGAAGGTGGCTGCAGATGGATGGAGAGTGATTCAGCAGGGAAAGAAGTTCTCAGTAGATGCTCCTAAATGAAACAATAAAAGCCTGTGAGAAGTCTACTAGTTCTTTTGCATTTCTTCCGGTGAAATCTCCCTGGTGAGTAAAACTTTTAAAGTGTCTCACTCCTGAACCTGGGGAAGGGGCTTGTTAGATAAGGTCAAGCTAAAGGCAATGTATGGAGGTCCATCATTTCTTGGTATTGCAGCTGGGTAAGGATCCACAACCTGCACAGGTGTTTGTGTGTTACTGCTGCTCTGGGCTCAGCCCTGTTCTGCACCAAGCTGGGAGGAGATCAGGGTGCCCCTGCAGGTTGCTTTCTGGTCCTCCCTGCATTTCTCCTAGTTTCTGCCTGGCTGCTCTGGGCAGAGACGGAAGTCGGCAGTCTCTTTACCTTCCCCTTCTTCCCCTCCCCCCTTTCCCCCATATTTGTGTATGTGAAGCATAGGATCTTCTCCCTACTGAGCTCTGCTTTCATTAGCAAGCCGCTGTACAGTGACCCATGCCTAGTTCAAACCTTTCCTGAATATTCACTAAAAGCCTGCCCAGATCATGATGCGTGCTCGCTTCCTCTGTGTAGAGGAGCTGTAACCTTGTGCAGTAATGCAGTAAATGCCAAGTCAAACTAGGAGCTAGTGGTAGGACAGTGAAATAGAGCGTTTAGCACTGTGTAGCTGTTCAACTTCCCTACAGTGACACCACTTCATTGTTCAGTGGCTTTTGTTTAAGGGAGAACTGAAGGGCAAACCACTTCTGTAAACAGAGAGTTACGACTGTGACACAAACTTTACAGGACACTGCTGCATGCAATTGCAGCAAGCAAAGAGAATATGCAAACAAAGCAGAAGACACTACTGCTGGTTCTTGTTCCAGGACAGCGTTTGCTCAAATCCTCTCCCTTTCATCCAGCTTGAGACATTTTTCTGTGCAGTGACCTGTTAAACACTGGCTATTCCAACAAGTCTGTTGTTTCTTTGTTTGAAGGCTGATAGGAGATACTCCATGCCTGTGCTGAAGGCTGATGTGGCAGATCTGTTAATCATTTCAGACTGACCTGGAACACACAGCACTATTAGGAATGGGAAACAAACTAACCTCTGTGTTTTTTTTTTATATACCTCTTTTCCCCAAATAGATATATTTATGACTTAGGAGGGATTTTACTACAATAGAATGAGTTGGTGCCTGTTTCCTGCAGACAGTCAAGCCATAGTTAAGCGTTAATATTTGATTAAACAAAAAGAGAGTGCTGTCTATTTAGCTCTTCATTTAGATAAGATGCCTGCTCTGCTCTGGGGCCTTTCTTAAGGCACTTTAGTTCCCAGAAATGGGGAATGCTATTTTCCAGATCACTTCCATGCGCAGGGGAGATTCAGAAATCTATAGCTACTTTGAGCTCTGCCTTGCTAGCTGGGCAGTATCCAAGTTGGTGTCTTCTAGAAACCAGATACGGTCACTCCTGAGGTAGGGACTGGAGGTGGCAGCCTTGAGGCTGTGCTGAGCGTGGAGGTGCTCAGTGTGAAGGTTCCTACATGCTGCAGGGCGTCCCAGCAGGCTCTGGAAGGATATGTGGGGCAGAAGATTTCTTCAAGGTGCCTTGTAAGACTACTGGGAGAGACAAAACACACTCACAGGGCAGTGTCAGGATGAAAGCAAAACATTTCTTTGGCGTGCCAAGCTCAATAACTCTTGC